GGCGGCCTTTTGGTCTACAGCGGCGCTGTCGGAATGGCTGCCTGACTTCAGGCGCGTGCCTTCCAAGGCCAATGTCTCCGACGCCGTCTCCCGGGGTGACCTTACGACGGCGGAGAACTCCGGATGGCGGCGAGTTCAGACGCCCGTCGAGGCCATCCTGAAGGTGCTCGCCAAGACCGTCGCCGACCTCGACTTCGCGGTGAACGACGCCGCCGATGAGTTGGTGAACCTGGCGGTGTGAGTCGGCTGAGCCGGCGCAGAGTGGGTGAGGGGAGCGCCGGGCGGCAGCTGAAAGCGTCCCCCGGCGCCGGCTAGCCTAGTACTGGCGAATGCGACGGACCCGGCGCGAAGGCGCTTCCTACCATCCAAAAGAAAGGGTCCGTCCGTCGTAGCTCTTTTGGGTACCGTCGGGGAAACGGTTGTCGTGTAGCACATTCATGTGCGTAGGGACAACCGTCGAATCGACGTAGATGCTGCAGCCGCTTTCCTGCTCCACGTCCCCCGACGATTTTCAGCTCCCACCCTCTCCGCCCTTGTTGGGTTTTATTTTTCTGGGACTATCGGGTCGTCGCTCGCTGGCGGGCAGCGGGCCGGGGCAGCTGAAAGCGTCCCCCGGCGCCGGCTAGCCTAGTACTGGCGAATGCGACGGACCCGGCGCGAAGGCGCTTCCTACCATCCAAAAGAAAGGGTCCGTCCGTCGTAGCTCTTTTGGGTACCGTCGGGGAAACGGTTGTCGCGGGATGGGTTGAAGTTCCGGACCATAGTGTTGGACAGCACCCGCTTCTCCTTCGAAGGTCTCTGCGGCAGTGGCAACATCTCCAAATGATGACGGCAGCATTGACATTGTCCTGACTGCCGTTCCTTGGAGCAGCTGGAGGTCGCACTGCTAGGCAGCTTGCATCTCCCTGGGATGTGATGTCGTGGGTTGCCTTGTGCATGTTCATGTCAACGCACGTGACATATCTTATTTGATTTACTACTGCTGAGGACAAGACCGTGCTGCCACTTGGCTGGGCCTGTAATCGGCCGAGTGGGCCTAGGCCTTGCGCTCCTTTGGCAGAGTCGAAGTGAGGTTTCTGACCTTGACGACCCTGGCACATGGCCGATTCAGCGACAACGCTTTTGCCATGCCTCCAGGGATCGGCAAGGCGCGGTCGCGGCCGGTGACTCATCGCGAAGTCGACTTGAGCTTCGACCTGTCAGGTGCGGTTCATTCCGTTTGGTGCTCTGGACCGCACGCTCTTGCAGGGCAGTTTGCGTCTTGAGATCCTCGGCATAGCATTCGAGAAAGATGAGACCAACCCGGCTTCGTCATCTGCTTGCCTTCTGTATGTGTCATTGGCACGACTACTGTCTAAACTGGCTTGACGGCTTTGTCCAGGCAATCCGGAAACGAATGCAGGGCGGACCAACAGTCCGTGTTAGCATCGAACATGCTCATCAAGTCCAAGAATGGGACAGCAATGTCGCTGTTGCAAATGTTGTGATCCAGGGCCAGGGGCCTCGCAGGTTTGTTCCAAGACAGGGTATGCTTCACAAACTGCATCTTCGCAGCTGCAGGCTAAACTGATCTAAACTGCTAAACAACACGTAGGGAGTAAAACCGGGCCTGAAGGAATTGTGGCGTGATCCTGAAGTGACAGCTGGTGATGCCTCGTTTAAGGCATCTCCAGCCGTACCAATCGTGGCAAGGCGGTGAGCGCGTCTACATCTAAGAGCTTGCATTTTCGGTTGTGATGGATTTAGGCTGGTTCAGATTCCAGTCCAGGAAGTAGTCATTAAACAAGATTTCCGTGCAGCATCGAAGAGCTTGCTGGACGGTGCGGTCTGTCACTTCGTACCATGGCTTGGGGTTTGCTCTTTTTCGTCTTGCGACATAGAGCAGAATAGAGCACATGATGCACATGTAGATCTTAGAGAGCAGAATCGGCACGAAATCGGAACATGATCGAAGTCTTCGTCTCGTGGTGGGGGGACACATGCCCGCAGCTTCCGTTTCGACTTCTAGTTCAGACATGCGAGGCACGACCTCGATCATGTGCTTGGGCAGGTCTCGAAGTGCCGTAAGTGCATGCACTGCTGCACAAGCGCAGCACACAGCCTTGCCTTCAAAGCAAAATCGCCGCTTTACACCTGGTCTGGGAAGCGGCATTCAGGCTGGCTGTCTCTCTCCTTTCGCAGTTTATGCTCCCGACTTCAAGTTAGCAGCGATTGCCGACAACTATCCGATACTATCCCCGTGTGTGTGTGTATGTTTTGTGAAATGCATTCACCGGAAGCCTTTCAGCCGACGACATTCGGAATTTCAACATCATAGCGGAACGCAGCTCAAGTACACAGGCCTCTAACGCCTTTCTTGCACGTCCGTCCTCCCTCAACCCAGCCACACATTCCCTCCGCGGTTTGCAGCCGTTCGACCGCTCCATGGCTGATGGCGGGTCGCGCGGGCGCCGTCCTCGGCGCTCGACGCCGCGGTGCCGGCGCTGGCTACGGGCGGGGTCGTGGTTTGGCAGCCTATGCTCGCTGTTTTGCGAGTGGTGGCGTGTGTGTTCGGGGTAACCGGGATGAGAAATGTAGGAAGATAATGGAACGTCACACCACGCCTGTTGTTGGTGGAGGCAGGGTGTGAGTACACTGGGTGCGGTGGTGTGAGCACCGGAGGAGCGTGTTGCTGGAACCCTTAAAGACTGCTAGCGGTTGTGATTCAGCTCTTCGTGGTAGGACATGGTGGGGTTGGTATAGGGGCGGTGAGCTAGCTGAAGTCGCTGCGCCGTAGAAACGGTGGAGGCGGTGATGCTGTGGGCAGGGCTGACGACTCTGTCAAAGTACCTCGCACCTGGCACAGAAATTCCTAGCGCCGTGCAGACTGTGGAGACGGTGGAAGCACTGGCTCCGCTACAGGACGGTGAAGACATTGATGTGACTGCAAGGGGCGTACGGGTTGACTGACTGAGGTGTCTCTGAAACGCAGTTTCGGGGTTTTTTCAAGCAGAGCCGTGCAGAGTTTGCGTGTGATAAGGTGTTGCCAGGCCACCTCTGCATTTGGCACAGCAGCGTGCCTGGCCTGAAGTGGCAATGTCCATCAATTCGGGAAGACTAATAATCTGTTGATCGCCATCACGTCTGAGGTTCATTGTCCCCAGATCGCCAGAGCTTCCAGCCCCTGGCACCGGTTGCTGTTGCCGGCTTTCTGGAGGAAGTTTGCGGACAGTAAGTGCAGCTTTCACCCTTAGGAAGCGAATGGCGATTTGGTCATGTTGACAGTACACATACTATATACGCTTGAGCAGCAAAGCGAGAACGGAGCTGGTCGCCACAAACCTCGGTGACGCGGCTTCTCTTGTCAGGGCTACGGCTACGAAGCACGGGCAGACTTAGCCTCTGGGCATCAGCTGGATCTAGCGTGGTTTTGGGGTTGACACTTGACCACGGGCTGCCGAATTCCGAGCTGTAGCAGCTGGAAGCTGGAAGTCTGGAGATGTGAGCCTGGCTGCCATCGTGCGGACATGCAGTGAGTGACCGTGCTGATATTCCCTTTGTCGCACACGCTCGCTGGAAACCGTTGTGGTTTTCCCCGGGCCCGGGATGAGGTTGCTAGTAGCTTGGTCTCCAAGGATGTCTGGGCTCTGCGACCAGGCAGTGCAACGGCGCCAGTGATGGTGCCTTGGCGGCTCCCTGGTGTGTGGTAGGACCAGTAAGAGCGAACGTAGACCACAACGCAGGCATTCGAAGTTGCTGGGCACGAGGAACGTGGAGGCTGTGATATGGCGTTGTTGTTCTTGTGGGATTTAGTTACTAGTTGGTTGGCTGGCCCGCAAGCATGCAAACTGGTTCGTCAGGAGACATAACTGCAAATTGTCAACTTCAGCCGACACGGTTGCCGAATGGGGCAGATCAAAAGCTTCGTCACTGTGTTTGTCAATGCCAGTTACGCAACTGCGCAGGTCATACTTGGTATCAGATGAAATGCTCCCTCATGGCCGCATCCTGAGAACTGCGCACCTGGCCGGGCATGACAAGGTGAATGCAGAAATGACGGCACTCGAATCGCTTGAAGTAGAGAAGCTTGGTTGTCTCAAAGCGATATGCGGCACGGAAAGGCAGAAGCTGGAGGGCTTCGGACTTCACTGACCTTCGTTCATCTTTGTGTCGAGGCTCCTCGCTCGGTGCCTGCACTGCGCTGGAAGGTGGAACGACGCCTGCTTCTCGTCATAGTGAGCCCTCCCTAGATTCTTAGATCTTAGGTCATCTTGAGGATTCTAGATAGTCGGCTTCCAACAACTTCATACTTATTTCACGCCATCTGTTCAGCTTAGTCCTAAGTCCAACCCGCGACACATAGTTCCGGTTGGCAGCTTTTCACGGGGCGCCGCCTGTAGATCCCCTCGCGGCCGTGAAGCCGCAGCCCAGGTCAAGCCTGCGGGAGGAACTTCACGAAACCTGGCACAACCTGCCGTGCACTTCTCGGGTGCTCTTGATCGCACTCAGGATAGGATCAAGGATGGCCTCGGATCCAGCTATGCCAATTACTTCGGCAAGACACCTTTCGCGCTGAAAGGCCGTTATGAGCATGAAGAGCCCATCGTGTAGTGACCATTCTGCCCTGCATGCCCTGCTGAAGCCGCTATAGCAAAACCACGAAAGATTGGCCACACCGTCAAGGGTTTCCGGCTTTTGAGAATTCCTAAATTCAACAGCTAAGTCAGACTTTCGCAAAAGCTGCGCTTGCTGGGTTTCGCCTTGGCCGCACACAAGGAATACGCTTCGTGCTTGCAGGCGGTCTGCCGGGCACCACTGCACGGCTCAATCTTTGGTTCCTCGGCCGAGGAGAAAGCTGCACGTGTTGGAATTGCATCAGTTTGGTAGTGTCGGGCTCGAGTTTTGAGTGGCACGGACATGTTTGATAGGAAGGCAATGCTCGTGAGGTATTGCAGGTTTGCCTGATAGAATGCACAACACCAGAAGGTTTGGATCCCTGGCGGAAGTTGTGAATCGCGGAGATGCGCAGCCCTCCGTGGTCGCTCTGCTGCTCCTCTTCCTGGAGGCGAGGTGGCGGGGCTTTCTGCATCATCGGTTCACAGCCACGGCACATCTCGGTTTGTTTGAGGCCCCAGAGCCGGCGGAGCTTCCGAGCGCCTCGGAGGCGACCGTCTCGGAGCTGGCAGAACAGCGTCATTTTGCGTCCGTCGAGCCAAGACATTCTGTAACCCTAGGAACGTAGGAGTGGCAGCCAAAGGCGGTAGTTTGTTCCGGCAGCTGCACATTGAACACATTTCCAAGGCCCTGATGTTGATGTTGGGGGATCATCCCCAATTCTTTCCAGGCGGAGGCACCTCGCAGCTCGCCGGGGAGGGCTTATACGACTGCAGCGCCAGTGGAAGCAGTCGCAGAGGTGCGGGCAGCAACCAATTCCAAACGTTCCTACCCATGAAGACCCTCATATTATATCCTTGTCTCCACAGCCGCACAGTCAATGCACCTTGCTTTGCTTCTTTGCCCGAGGACCCCCCCAGCGATGGCCTGAGCCCCACGGCACTAAACGGTGCGGGAGCTCGCACGGATGCCGGCCCAGAGGAGGTCACTGAGGAGGCTGAAATCGAGATCAGCTTGGAAGACGAGACGAGCTAAAAGGCGCAAGAAAGCTCGAGGATGCTGCCATGCCACACCATGCCACACACATGGGACCACAAAAAGGGGATCCTTCCCTTGTCTCTCTCTCTCTCTCTCTCTCGCTCTGTCTCTGTTTGCCGACCCACGATTACACGGATCTCAGGACCGCGATTTTCAGTGCAGGTGCATCAGGCCCATCACAGCTACCCGACGCAAAGAAGCTATGGCGCGATGGGGAAGCATCGGTTCTTCACCGGTGCGTACCTGCGTGTACATAGGGTGCAAAGGAACGAGTGCACGACAGTGTAGCAGACGGGTTGGCATCAATTGGCATTGTGGGCATCAGTTGGGACTTCGAAACCAGGATTAGAGATTAGAGTGTGTGTGTGTGTGTGTGTGTCCATCCCTGTTCCAAAGGGTCGAGTGTGTCTAATGCAGGGGGTGCCGGGGGCACTGGTGAGACCGGCACTAACAAAGACGCTCATCAGTTGCCTGTGAAGCAGTGGAGGACGCTCCACTGTGTACCTGCTAATTATTTGTGACATCGTCCATAGTACAAGCTGTGCAATGGTTCTGCAATGACATCGTCGCTGTACATTGGTGATTCCGAGTGCGATTCTGAGTGCGAGTTCAGGCCAAAGGTTCAAGGTGCATCAAGAAGCTGACTCTTCTGACTTTGAGAGTGTGATTTGAGACCTGCGACACGATGTGTCAAGTGTGCTTCACAACGGCATTCCCTATGGGCGCCGTGTCTCCCAGAGGTAGCTCTGGCGCTGACTTTCCCGATTGACTGTATAAGCATTGGATGACTTTCCCTGATTCTATATCCGTGCTTGCAAGCTGACTTTCCCAATGAGTCTTCACCGAATGCTTCTACCGAAACCTGAATGCTGACTTTCTCATTGACTGTCTATGATCAAATCGACTTTCCCGATTCTGACTTTTTCGCTGACTTGTCGCAGGTCTTTGGCTACAAATCGAGTTTCCGAGCTGTACTTCAGAGTAATTGCTGATCAGTTTGCCATGGATTCTTCAGGAAAGAGACGCAGTACCCGCACATCAGCCCCTCCCCCTCCTCCCCCACCTCCTCCTCCCCCTCCTTCCTCCCCCTTCCCCCATCTCCCTGTGCCTCCCCCCCCCCACTTCCGCCCCTGCCCCCGCCCGTGGTACCACAGCGAAGTGGATTCCACCCCCCCCTCCCCTTCCCCCTCCCGCCTTCCCCCCGCCACCCCCCACTCTTGCAGTTTGTCCAGCGCCTGCCTCATCTTCTTCTTTGCCGGTCCCTTCTGCATCAGATGTTGGAGCGAGAGCTACAGAGGTAACTCCTACTTTGATTGCTGCACGTCCTGTAAATGATCGGCAGATTCCGCAGCAAGAGGCTTCCCCTGCAATCACTCTTCATGCAGATGGCACAGGTTTCCGGTTGTCGTTTCGTTCGGTGGCTGATTTCGCTGAATACTCAGCGATTATGGCAGCAAACTTGACACATGTCCGAGGCCACAGAGATGTGTATGCTGGCCTCAACAATTTGCTTGACATTCAGCAGTCTGTTGTTTCTCAACGGAATCAGTCAACAGCATCTGTTCAGAGCCAGCAGTCAGCCATCACGTATCAAACGGATGATTCAGCCCAGCCAACAAAGCGACTTCGGCAAGTTCCTGGAAATGAAGTTTCTCTCGTTGCAGATCCTAACAGCATTCGACTTCGTGCAATTTGTGATCAGATTCCGGGTACTCATGCAGATCGCGTAGGGTGGCAGCTCAGTGCGGACCAGACTTACGTCTTTCGAGTTAGACCGCTGCAAGACTCGTATGAGCATTTTGAGAATCGATCTCTTCTCAAAGGGCATGTGGAAGTTGAGTGGGAGCAAGATTCAAACTTCTTCGTGATTCCTGAACTTCGTGGGTTGGAAGTGCGAGATGAAGAAGCGAAGCTGATACGCGTGTATTCATCTAGCTTCAATTGGGCCGCATTATACCCCATGTTTACTGCTCTACGTCACTTGATCAGTTCCAGCCCTGGCCGCATGAAATCGGCATGTGAGATTTCGGCAAAGATTCCGGCCAATCTTGAGTTGCAGGTTCCCAGCTCTCTGATGCAAAACACGGCGGACTATCTGATCAGCCTGTTAGGTCTTCCTCCCCACGCTGTCAATTCGACAGCATTGAAGTATGTCTCTCAGGCAATTGCAGCAGCTGATCAAGCCGCAAACATTCATTCTGTGGAGCTTCGTTCTTTGTCGAGTTCGTGCAAGTGCTTGAGCATCCACTTCACCCACTTTGAGAGGACCATGATCAGGTCGCATGCTTCTGCAGCAGGGATTCGTCGTTCTCCTGTTGCACACAACACAACAGTGGCAGCGGCTGCATCAATCCTTCTTGAGGGAGCGATTCGACCTTCTTGGTGGGATGCTAGTGACAGCAAGTGGTCCCCACCAATTTCCTTCTATGCTAGGGCTCACACTTCAGATGCAGAACAAGCACAAGAGGCAGCAGCCAAGTACGGTGGCATTCTGAGTGAGCGGCCGGTGTGCATTTTCGGACATGCATTTAATCGTCAAGGATCCCTCACACCTCCCCATTCAAGAATCCCCATGGGAGGGGTCGAAGGTGACCATTCCTGCAGCTACATTCGTGATGTTGCCCGTGCCAAAGATGGCAGATGGGTCTTTCGCTCTTCATGTTTCATCCCGGAAGCGCTTCTTGTTTTTTGGAGGGTCTGAGTGCAACATGCTGCTTTGACCGGCCACGCCTTCAAGTCTCTTCCGTTGTCACCTGCTGTGCACGTTTACATGTGACGAAAACCTGCAAGGGTAGTGCAAGTGTATTGCAAGGGACGTGCAAGTGTACTGCAAGTGAGAAGAGCAAGTGACGTGCAAGGGATGTGCAAGAGTTTATGCATCGGACGTGCAAGTGACGTGCAAGGGATGTGCAAGAGTTTCTTCATGAGCCGTCTCGAGTTGCAGCTTTTTGATTCGAAGTGACGTTAGTGATTCCGCGTATTCAGATTTGTTGATAGATCTGAAACCATGGCATGGAATGGGCAGTGGGACAACAGCACAGGGTACGGGAGGTCCCAGCAATCGTGGGGTCAGCACCGCTATCAGCCGTATAACTCGGGAAGTTGGACTGATCCCAACCTCTCCAAGTCTGCACCTGCTAGTCAGCCACCTCCACTACCACCGCCTCCTCTTTCTTCGGCACCTTCATCTTCGCCGTCTACTCCCATGCCATGTCATCAAGGTCCTGGTCCTGTTCCTGCACTACCGAATGGATGGGCGTCAGATCGTGATCATTATGATTCAACGGTACTTCATGGGTTGTCCTTTCGTAAGTCCATCGAAGCCACCCCGTGGTCGCGGAAGAAAGGGATCGCAGGAAAAGACCCACTCAGCATTCCTGTTCAGGAATTCCTGTTTCATGGAGTCTCAGATTGGCGTCTTCGAGCATTGAGTCATGGCAAGTTTTTCAGTGTTGTGCCAGTTGCTACGGTTGCCGAAGCAGTGTTCATGTCGCAAGTCACGAAGAACCTTCGAGATCGCAAAGTTGACATCGACGCAGTTGCTACGCATCTCTTTCAGGCCGCTAATCCATCTACAATCATTCCCAACAAGAACACGGATTGTGCAGCTCTGTTTCAGCCGATGGTTGACAAGATCGTTCAGCTCATGTTCGACAACATGCCGGTGTCTGCAGGCGTCGATCAATCTCAGAAGTTTCTTCAAGTTACGGAAGAGCTCAATCGCCGCCGTGAACAGTTACAAGCCGCAGGACTTCCAGTTACCCCCACGAAACCCGCTTTGCAAACACAGCTCCCGGTTGCCTCGCAATCTAGTGCTCCGTGTCCACAATCCGTGACACCACCGCAGACTTGGGAGAGTGACCTCAAGCGTAAGATCGACAGTGTTCCTGCAGAAGCCCTGAATGATCACAAAGCCCGATTAAAGGGATCAGGAGAGGGGGACGTCGACAAGTGGATCCAGAGCTTCAAACGACCCCTAGGAAAGCGCTTTGTCGATTTTCAAGAACACATTGCGTCTGTCTCCAAGCTTGTGCAGATCAACTACGGAGGCAAGGAGAAAGCAAAACTGCAAGAACTTGCAGTAAAACTCGGGATCTCGGCGACTTTTGCATCTAGGATGGGTATCAAGAGTCTCTCTACGTGCATCGCAGCAGCAGCCTTTCAGGTTGTCTGAATTGCACACAGCCTTGCTTCCAATCAACTCTCCGCAAAGGAGATTCGGTCAGCACATGTTCTTATTACAGAGGTTGGCAAGTTCATGTCGTTTGTGCTTCAGTTCATTCCGCATGTGGACAAAGTGATGGCCATTTGGTTGCAAGGTTTTTGTCATCTGATTCTACTGTTCCATTACTCCAGGGGTACTTCGCCAGAACAACGGCTGCTTGAAAAATTGCGCAAAGCTGGAGTCACGCTGTCTGATTACACGTTCACACGGTTCCAGAGTCCTTGTGCAGTTTATTTGAAAGCCCCCGTGTCCTGGAGTACGCGTTCTTCGTTCAAGCAAAGAGACAGATGGATGTATGTTGGAAGTACTTCAATTACTATTTCCAAGCGTGAATTCAACCGGCAATCCAAATTCAAGCAAGTTCTTCGTGAGCAATATGTTCAAGTTGAACCAGCCATTCGTATTTGGGCTTCGCTGGGCAGGTATTTCGACTTTTCTACGCTTTGTCTGTCTGTTCATGATGACTACAAACAAGCGTGGGTACAAGAGCATGTTCTTATTGATCGGTGGCAACCCAGATTGAATTCACCGTTCATTGACCGTTTCTTCATTAAGTCTGCATTGGGATTCAAGAGACTCAGGCCACGTCCATCTCTCAAGAATGTTTCATTGTTTTCCAGACTTTGGGTCAAAGTTCGAAGACGTGCTGCTTCAACAAGTACTCCGAT